TACAATTGCAAATATACGGGCAAACCCATAATTGTTGTTCAGTTTTAGAAGACTATGCACAATATTTTTGGTTTTATGAGTTTATAGCTGCACTGTCATAGTCCACATGCATCTATAGGTTTACTACCGTATATATGTTTAATATGTAATTAAACTACTGGCTACAAGCAGACAGGTTTTCGAGATAAAGGAAACAAATCAACTACGTATCTGCATTGGCGTAGTGCAATATACGTTCAAAATATAATTAAAGTACTGGCGACAAGAAGAAATTTTTTCGAGATAAAGGTAACAGTCGACTACGTATCTGCATTGGCGTGAGCACCCGTGTATCTGTGAATGGATACCTATTGTAGTAAGTAAATAGGCGAATATACTTGATGGATCCGCTCTGAAATTTTGGGCGACGCCGGAAAGATTTGCGAGAGATAAAGAAAATAAAGATGTCAAAACGTACGCGACACAATTTTAATTATTTATCATCTGTCACTCACTCACTCTACTACTACTCGAGAGAGAGAGAAAGAAGCCACAACAAGTATACCTATATGATTGTCTAAGGGGCAAATCAATACGCCAAAACTGCGTGGTAGGTTGACAGCAATGCAGGCTCAGTCTCAATAAGTGCTTGCATTTTCGCATAACAGATGCTAGAAGCCGCTGCCGAGTGCTGCTTCGATTCGATTGGATTGGTTGTATCCTGTATCATAAATTAGACACAACCCGGAACGTGTTAAGGATATACGTACATACACATATCGTGCAGATCATATAAGCAAAGACTCATAAAATTGGGCATATTAGGCGAGTCTAGTATTTGATCCACTCAGGCCAGTTACAAGTGAGTCTAAGGGATTTCACCATGCGCTTACTACCGAAAAAGATAACAGACGAGCAGTACGTCGAACGATGGGCTCGGCTTCAGGAACTGCTTGTCAGTATTATGCAGCTGCATGGGGTATGCGATCAAACTATTGCTAGCACACCTTTAATACTTTATACGGTTGTAGGCGTGACAGGCTCTACCTTCCTGTGTCTATATCTGTTCTTGGAGCATTTGCAACAACGTGACTACGCGAAGGATGCACTGCAGTGTCCGGTTGTGTGCTCCGTTGCATAATGGCATTTTCACTATTGT